ACGGCACCGGGAACAAAATATTTTCCTTTCGTTCGTGCATCTTTGCCGGGTGTGTCCGGACTCACCGCACCTCCAGCAAATTAAATTTGCTGATCCTGCCGTAGCTGGCCGCGACTGGGCGGTCGCCGGGGTGGCGGATGTGGCGACGGGGGGTCGGGGCTGCTGGCTTAACGTCATAGCCTGCGCGGGCAGCTGTTTCGGGATGTTTACTGGCAGGGCGCCTTGGAACTGATTGCGGGAGGAACGGTTCAGTTCTTTGCGCAACGTGTCGCATTCCTTTACCGCTTTGGTAAACGACGGGAGATCTAGGCAGTCAGACCGACGCACCTGTTGTCTAAATTCGGGAGCTAGGTTTCGGTATAACCACTGGAGCTCTTGCTCTGCGGAAATCGCGCCGTGGCGGCGAATAAGGGTTTGCATATCGGTAATGTATGCGGTTATCGGTTCTTGCAGCTGGTGCAGCCGGCGGCTGATTTCAGCTTCCAAATCTGTCAGATAATTTGTCGGAAAATAATGTATCTTAAAGTCGGTAACAAAATCGTTCCACTGGTTCCAGAACCTTTTGTTATTTCGGAACCACAATGCCGCCTCTCCTTCTAGGATCTGGGGCAGTGGGGATAACAGGCGGTTTAACGAGATATGCTGGGCCTCGCAAATTTCCTCGATGCGTTCCAGGAACGCTACGGGGTCTCCTCTCCCGTTAAAGGAGATTTTCCACTTATCCACCCTTATACACGCTACTGTTGACGGGGTAGCTGTACTTCCGGGTTCATTGGACATTGGTGTCGGTGACGGGGAAACCTGGCGGGCTATATATGTGGCGGTGTTTGGCGTTGCAGCCATCTGCGGGGATATTGCAAGGTGGGCAATATCTTCGGTTATGGTCGGCGTTGTTACTGGCCGCGGGGATATCGCGAGAGGGGTTGCCAAAGTCGGGGCTGTCCATGTCACCGTCGAGGACGCATTTATCGGGGCTGACGTATACACTGGGGCGGGGGTCACAACCTTTGCCGGGGAGGAATGGGCTAGCAAGTTAAACGATTCATTTTGATCGACAGTTCTCAAGGAATTACTTTTTCCTGTCCGGAGAAATTGTATTAGTCGTTTTCGTTTGTCGACTCGGGTACCTGTCGTATCTAAATCGAATTTACTTAATTCATCCTCCAGCTCGGCAGATTTTAAAAGGTAAACCCAACCAACGCGAGCGTCGGTATCAGGTACATGGTCAGAAACTACGTTTTCGACTTCCAGAGATTCTGGATCAGCCTGACGGGACTGGCGTTTGGCTCCCTTTCCCATTGGGGCGGTGTTTCTGGGCTACTACCAGGCAAAACTTTAGCAAAATCGCTCGAAGCGCAAAAATCTTGCCACAACCGGCTTCAGTGACCCTGGTTTACTACCAAACGAGGGGTCGCACTGTTATTCGGAACCGAAAATTTTCCACCGGCCCTTTAGGCCAAAAATTTTCTCAAAAACGGTTTCAGCGACCCTGGTTTACTACCAAACGAGGGGTCGCACTGCTATTCGGAACCGAAAATTTTCCACCGGCCCTTAAGGCCAAAAATTTTCTCAAAAACGGTTTCAGCGACCCTGGTTTACTACCAAACGAGGGGTCGCACTGCTATTCGGAACCGAAAATTTTCCACCGGCCCTTTAGACCGAAAATTTTCTCAAAAACGGCTTCAGCGACCCTGGTTTACTACCAAACGAGGGGTCGCACTGCTATTCGGAACCGAAAATTTTCCACCGGCCTTTAGGCCAAAAATTTTCTCAAAAACGGCTTCAGCGACCCTGGTTTACCACCAAACGAGGGGTCGCACTGCTATTCGGAACCGAAAATTTTCCACCGGCCCTTTAGGCCAAAAATTTTCTCAAAAACGGCTTCAGCGACCCTGGTTTACCACCAAACGAGGGGTCGCACTGTTATTCGGAACCGAAAATTTTCCACCGGCCCTTTAGGCCAAAAATTTTCTCAAAAACGGCTTCAGCGACCCTGGTTTACCACCAAACGAGGGGTCGCACTGCTATTCGGAACCGAAAATTTTCCACCGGCCCTTTAGGCCAAAAATTTTCTCAAAAACGGCTTCAGCGACCCTGGTTTACCACCAAACGAGGGGTCGCACTGTTATTCGGAACAGAAAATTTTCTTACCGGCCTTTCCGGCCAAAAATTTTCTCAAAAACGGTTTCAGCGACCCTGGTTTACTGCCAAACGAGGGGTCGCATTGGTATTCGGAACCGAAAATTTTCTTACCGGCCTTTCCGGCCAAAAATTTTCTCAAAAACGGTATTAAAAAGTCCCTGCTCTTGGGCGCCAATTTGTAAAAGGGTTTTATTTCCCGGGGGAAAACTTTCCTTTTTAAGCTTGGCGTCACTTACCGTGCTGACTTTCTAATAAAATCTCGAGCGCCAACTTCAACGGGTTTAAAGTGGTTGAAGTTCCACTATGTGCGAGGGTAGTTTTTAGGGTCAACAGTGGAGATAAAATTCCAGGGTTCCGGGGAATTTAAGAATAAATGGTGGTTCGGTTAATACATATATTGAAAATAAATCCTCGTATGTACAAAACAATAAATAAATGGAAAATGAATTTACACAGAATAATTTGAAAATAAAAGGGAAGTCTCTGAAACAAACCAACAGAAAATTAGTTACTACAACTTACTTTAGCGGTCGGACGGTCGGGACGGCGGTCGGTCGGTGTTCCGGATGCTGTTGAAATACTCGTCGCACTGATGAGAAGTGATAAGTGATCTCTTCGAAGGCGCTGCGCCCGCTTATATGCCCTCTGGTCTCCCTCCTAGGGCCGGCTGCGCGAGCCTCCAGCATGATGTCAAGATTGACCAATCCCGGCGTTGTGGCAAATCTTTTGACATGACGGTGCTCTCGGTTGCTGCTTGGCATAAAAACGCTTCGTCGAAAGGCAGAAGTAAACAATCTGGCCGTTTTTTTGCTGTGCGCTTTGACTGTCCTACGGGTCATTCCGGTGGGGCGCTACATATGGGCTATTCCGGGGTCGTTTATGACTTATGTGAAATAAATCATTTAAATCGGGATTCTGTAACACAGGGTAGGAATAGGGAAAAAGTAACTTCGTTACATACTTATAATAGTTTACGAGATATCGCTATTTTTGTAAGTACTTGCAAAACCCAAATTTATCGGAATTTTTTTATTTTCAAAAATCAATAAAACAAAAACCACCCATCGAAAAAAATTCATATATGGGATTTTTGAGTTTTTTAGTGAGGTAAACAAATTTACCAAAAATTATCAAAATCGGAGATGGTGGGGGAAGAACCTTTGGTTGATTTGATATGGACTGACCCATACTTTACAAATTATCTCTAAAACAAATCATTTTATCAAAATTTTATAGGAGACAAATTTTTTTTAACAATAAATGATTACCTGAAAAAATACCGTTTGGAAGTCATTGGCGCACGTACTAAAAATAGGGGGAGTCAGTGAGTACTGGACCCCCCCTATTTTGATTATTTGACAAATGTTTTTTTGTTTTGTTGGTCTCAAAACATGTAACTATTTATGTTGAAGTAGTGTACCGAATTTAAACTTAATATCTTATCAATTACTTGAATTATTAAAAAAAATCAGTTTTAAATTTCAAACTTTGTCGCCCTGTATATCGAACATGAAGCTCTAAATTGAAAAATGGTATTATGAAAGTCTTATTGTTTTAACTCAAAGAATATATGGTTAACGGATTGACTTCCTTTTCCCGGACACCCTGTATATAAAAAACAAATTAAATCTTAATTAAATGTTGTTTTATTCATTATGAAATTCTTATTTGTTAACTGTACATGGTGCAATTCTATTGGCCGACATTTGGGACGGAAAAATAATCCCCCGAATACCACACGAGCTTCAAAATTATCTGGCATTTCCCTCAAGGTTCCCTGCAAACAAATAAAGTCGTCAAGTTTTTCAGGAAAAATCACTCGCGCTTCGCGCTCGTGATTTTTTAACCTGAAAAACTTGACTCCTTCATTTGTTTGCAACGAACCTATCGGGAAAAATACCCGATAATTTTGAAGCTCTTGTGGTATTTTAAGTGAAAATTCCACACCTGTAATTTTTAACCAATCAAAACGTGTATTTTTGATAGATCACCATGGCAACGGTTGAATTTTAGTGGAAATTTTTTCCTCGTGGGTACCCAACAGCGAATTATACTGGACATTTTTTTGACGTTTATAATGACAGAATATTTTTTTGATAATCTGGTTTTTATTTGTTTACATGATAATTTTGATACATTTCCATTACAAAGTTTAGATGTTTTCTATATTCGTTGGACACCTCCTTTCTTCTTAATGGCGAAAATGCAGGACTTGAAATAAATTAAATGTCTATGTCTAATGAAATATATATAATATTTAGACACTATTCTATTCACCTTTTTTTCCATTTAGCACTTTGAGTTTTAAATAGTTAAGATGCAAATATTCGTGAACAATTCAAAACAAATTTTCTTTCTTCAAGTAGGAGCCACAATCCTCTAATAATGCGGGTAAATAAGTCATTGCACGATGATTGATCATTACAGCAGACAATTTCACATTTTTTACGTCGTGCCGCTTGACAGCTTCAAAACTGAAATAACTTTTAGGTTGGGGTTGACTTAGTTGCCATGGTAACTAAATAATCAAGTCGAGTTCAAGTTAAATCAAAAAATAAATTTTAATTATTTAAACACAATTTGGTGTGGAATTTTCTTACCGAATACCACACGAGGTCAAATTAAATCCGGAAATTTTTTCTCCCTCATGAATATTTTTAGAAAATTATCCCTCGTCTAATTTTCAAAATATTCATGAGCTCGAAAAAATTTCCGGAAATAATTTGACCTCTAGTGGTATTACTAGTGACAATTTTGATGCCAAAATGTTATATAATAAATTATCTACAATTTTTTTTATAAAAAACAGTTTTGTAATTCGTGCGTTTGACGCGTAAATAAAAAAATTACAATTTTAGCGGATTTGCCAATGTTCCGCAACAACGCCAACTATTGGCTAACCTTTAACGGAATTATATCTGGAACTTTTATAATTCTGTGGTCCTTCTACAGCATGGGGCATATTGTCTCGTGCGCACTCTTAGGCTCCTACGCCGTAACCGCAGCCCTAAACTACTATTGCGGCGGGTATTTTCAATACATCGTATTAAATTCCATCAAAAGGGCCACCGTTAAAAACTACTACATGGCTGTTGTTGATCCGCCATATCAAGCAATTGGTGAGCACGTAATTTTTTAAGGTCTACCATTATTTACCTACACTTTTCTTAAGATTTGATGTTGACTGTGCTATGGGCCGTACTATTTCTCACTGGATGTTGCATCCAAAACAAAATTCAACGAAGAAGGGCGCCGTTCCCATCTTCGAGAAACTATTTCAGAGATGCACCTCTACTGTTAAGAGGTCGACTTTTTTTCGATCAATCCCTCAACGAAAACGAGGAACAACGAAGCCAAAGAGAACAGCAAACGGAAACGTCCCCCTTACTTCGTAACGTACCCGAATATGTTTGATATACTTTATCCAACCTACCATGACCTGACCTGCTTTGCTGGACGTACTATAAATTGTATGCATGTTGATATATTTTTGTAATCAGTTTAATTAATAAATCGCTTTATAACAAGACTGAATTTGGGTGTTTTATTGGCTAGTTTTAAGTTGGAAATTGAACTTATTTTACTAATAGAACTGCGTTTAAAATGCTTTTTAGTTTGATAAAATAAAAATTACAGCGAGAGAACAAACTTTGAATATAGGGGGTTTTATGGGCATATTTATCAAAAAATAAAATGACGGATTCAATATGGCGGACATTTTTCTGAAAACTCTTCTTTTCTGACATTGACTAAAATATGCAGGGTTTTTCGGGTCGCTGATAACGAGTTTGAGGTTTATTTACAAAAAACAAAATTGCTGATATAATATTAATTAATGATGTTTTGTTTATAAAATGATATTATTAATAATTCATTTTGACTTACCTTGTTAAAACCTTAAATGGTGAATAGAATGGAGTAAATTAAACGTTGATGTTTTTGAATAATTAATTTATTACCTCACAATTATAATACACGTCTACACAGCGAAAAATCTACCCTACATAAAATTTAATGTAGTAATTATTAAAATTAATCACAGCAACAGTAAATTTATACAACACTTAGTAATAATAATACTTTTATTTATTAAATCGCTTAATCTATATAAAAAAATTAAAAGGATTGCATTTTTAGGAACTAAAAATGTGCCTAACCAATTTCTTTTATTTAACACAGTTATACTTATTTATTATTACTTTAAGAGAGAGATTACTGTAATGGTAATTTAAAACAGGTTTCTCTAAAAAAATGCGATTGTGCTAAAAAGTTAAATGACTACTTTTTGCATGCTATTATTGCTGAGATTTGACAACCCTGTTCAAAGAAATATTGCATCAAAACATTTAACCGTTTTGGAGGTTAAAGTTTAATTATCTGCGCAGTAAAACTGTACAACTAGGTTATTTGACTATTTTTGCAGATACAATTTTATGGGAGATTGTTAAAATATGCTTCATGGAAAAAATAGTTTTATCTACATAAAGTTTTTTCGTAAAAAATTCGTCGTTTCGTAAAAGTACGATCTTAATAACACTGGTGTAAAACTTTTTAGTCCAGGAATTAATTTTATTTGTGATATTTTCAATATATAATAGATAAAAACAATTTTTATTCTGCTAAATAATAATATCATAGGAGATATTTAATTAAATAGATTTAATTTTTATGCCAAACTGATATTTTAAATTTAGTAAATTCGAAATATGTTTCTTATTTTTGTATTTTTTTGTTAAACACATATTTTTAATTCGCTGAATTAAAAATATCATTGGAGATATTTTAAAGTATTAAAAATATCATGGGAGATTATTTTAATTAAAATTAATTTTTAGTTTAATAAATTAACAGATATTTTTAATTGAATGTGATATTTTTAATTCCAACTGATTGAGAGTTTGGACGTACGTCGTAAATCCCAGTGATTGTGTCTCCATCTAGCGACAGAATTAGTTTAGAATACCAGGGGTGTGAATTAAAAATATCTGCTTATTTAAAAAAAAATGTTGAATTAAAAATGTTTTTAACTAAAAAATGCAAATATAAGAAAGAGATATTTTGTATCCAATTTATAAGAATAAAAAATAAAATGGCGGACCTGGATTAAAAACCTTTCAGCCAGCGTAAATAATTGAACAATTGAAAAGTGTATGTACATCGCACTAAAATTAATATTTACACTATTTAACAAGTACCCTGACGTCCGGGTTGCCTACCCGACCGGTAGGTGGCGCGGCAGGACGTTCCGTGGCCGTGGAAAAGCGTTTTGCGTCCATTAGGACGGGGTACGGGGACTGGGGGCGGCCGCAGAGGGGGGCGTCAGAGGCGGCGGCTGCTGGTGGTGCTGCAGGACCGGACTTTCCTGGTGCACGGCCAGCAGGCCGGGCGGCGGAAAGCCGAAAAGTTGAGATCACTGGATGCGGGGCCAGTAATTGGCCGCCAGGTTCGACGACAGCTCGCTGTTTTGGCTCGGGATTTGCACTGGCACCGAAACTCCGGCAGATATCACGCCTGTAACGAAAAAATACGTTGTTATTGCACGTTTGTACGCTAAAGAAGCAATAAGTAGTTTTTTCACAAAACAGAGAATGGCAGAAGTCTTACTCGACAAGTTTTGTTTTGTTTAGTACTCGATTTCGATTTACTCTCTTAAAATGAATTAGTTAAAAATAACTAATTATAAGTCATATTTGACTAATTGTCATACCGAGAAAGCAGTCACTAATAATTAGTCAAATTCTATTTAAATTTAAAAAAAGTTGAGACCCAGCCGGGGTTTGAACTCGGGTCTGTCGCTTGTCAAGCGTATGTCATAACCAAAAAGCCATCAGTCACTTTTATAAAAATCAATTTTATTTGTCTATAAATATTGCTCATAATATTTTAAAGTTGAATATATTTTTTGTTTTTATGGGCATTTAACTCAAACAATAATTTTTTGTTGGCCGCAAACGATTTAAGAAATTAGTTACTTTTAACTTTTAGAAATAGTCCAAAATGATGACTAATCTTAAATTAACTATTTAAGTAGTAAAAAATAACTATTAAAAAGTGAAAACGACTATTTTATTAGTAAAAAATGCTGGTACTAATTCAAATAGTAGAATGTTGACAATTTCATTTTAAGAGAGTACATATATCATTGATTGTGTGTGTGCACATGTATTTTATCTAAGTCATCATGGTGAATTATTGTGTTTTTAATTGTAAATAAAATTCAAGAACCAAATCGTTGCATTTTCATGGTTTGCCAAAGGAACCAATACGGTACGTATATTTCTGCTGCAGAATTAACTAATGATAACTTTACCTAATTTATATTTTAGTTTGGACCTTTTTAAGAAATATAAAAAAAATAGTTGTTGTACAAACATAACCTTAAAATCAAACATTTTTATATTTGAGTCCTTTAAAAAAACGCCGACAACTGCATTTTAAACTACAAAATATACCTACGAATTCATGGCAACATAATATTACATATAATAGACTGGGCCAAAAAAAGTCTATCATCGCAATTTTAGATTTTTTTTTCCTGAGCGAGTTTTTGTCCCAGAACTCCCAAATCATTGAGTTTAACAAAATTTACTTAAGAATATTTTTTGAAGAAAATTAAAATTAAATTGGTATAGTTTTACAATTTGATCTTTTAACTTTGGAATTTTGTAATTCATGTAAAAATCAGTACCCTGAAAAAAAAACGATAAATATTCTTATAGGAAATCAAATGCTCTACAAAAAAAGTCTTTTATCATTTTTGGCTAAATTTACTCCATCAAAAGTTATTCAAGGTTAAATTTGAAGTCAAAACGAAATTTTAACCTTGAATAACTTTTGATTGAGTAAATTTAGCCAAAAATGTTGAGAGGCTTTTTTTGTAAAGCATTTGATTTCCCATAAGAATATTTATCGGTTTTTTATGGGTACTGATTTTTACATTAATTACAAAATTCCAATTTAAAAGATCAAAATGTAAAACTATACCAATTTTTAAGGCATGATTTTATTTTTGTAGAGCATTTAATTTTCTTAAAAAAATATTTTCGAGTCAATTTTGTTAAACTCAATGGTTTGGGAGTTCTGAGACAAAAACTTTCTGAGGAAAAAAAATTAAAATTGCGATGATAGACCTCTTAATATTAATATTATGGACCCAAACTTTCACAAAATTTTTGTTTTGTCACCCCAAACCATATTTTCGATATACTTTAAAAAAAAATAGTTGATTTTTTTGCCCAGTCTAATATATAATACATAATATAATACCGGTTGTTGGTATTTTAACGTTTTCTTTCCTATATTTTTAGCGATTTTCCTACAATGTAGAGAAATAGGTAAATTCGTTGTAAAAATAAAAATTGAAAAATTCGCGGGTAACTCAATTCTTCTAGAAAATTGAAAAGTGACGTAGGCACGAATATCCTGTGCAATATCTTGCAAAGTCGATAAAGAACACATTGGGGCACCAAAAGTTTACATTTCATTCCCAAGTCCAAAAAAAATTTACTTAAGAAACAATGGTACACTGTTATAAAAATCAAATTTGTTAACATGAGTTTGCAGTTTGTTAATTTTGTTTTGTAAAATTTTAACATAATTTTTTAAATAATTTAACAAAGGAAATTAATTTACCGAAAGTTATGTGGATCTGGATTAACATAAAATCTGGTTAAAATTAACACATATTTTTTTACTGAGTAAGATGCATCTCGCCGTTGTTTCCAGACCACGTCGCTATATAGTCAGTGATAACTGTTGTTTCCGGACGTAGTTGTATCTCACCGTCGTTTCTGGATGTGATTTGTTTATAAACCCTTTAGGGTATCGCGTAAAATATCTTTAAACCGGGAGTAAGATAGAAAGAGAAAGAGAGATGGAGAAGGGAATTTGTCGTAAATTTCATTGTCCGTGATCAGTTTAAAGTGTCGGTCGTAGAGTCGAGAGCACGGCGGAGTGCAGATGTGTCCCGGGGGCGGAGGGGGGGCGGTTTTCCAATTCTCTGCTCGCCGAACGCTCAATAATGTGCGAACTAAAGCCGGGGGTGGGCCGCCCCGTTGTTCTGGTTGCAAGCCTCGTTTGCCGCCGTCTTCTCGCTCCCGCGGGGACCCACTTAACCTCAACCTGTGTACCTTTACGTATGATTACGTAGCCCGCTAATGGCACGGAATGCCTTTCTCTCTATTGAGAAAAATTCCCGCTGCTTGCGTTTCTAGTTGTTTTATTTAGCACCAAAATTTCATATTTTATATAAAAATTTTAAATATTTATTAATTAATACGTTTAATAATATCCCGGCACATTCGCCATTTTTGACAATCTAGGGAATTTTAAAATTTCTTTTTTTATTTTTGTTCTTAATAAAAAGTTTCGATCGCTAAAAAAATATATTTAATGGTATACCATTGACAAAAGAAAATTTGGAAATTTAACTAAAAATTAGAAAAAAATCGATTCAACAGTACCTTTTTTTCTTTTTATTAAGAATGACTTTTCTTCGAAGAAACAAACATAAAAAAACTTTTTCTTTTGATTTTTTGATGTCTTCATGGATTTTATGTGTTGCTAACTTTTAAACACCATGTAGACAAAAACCCAATTTTTTATGTCAATGTTATTTTTTGACGATTAAATTTTTTTTATCAGGAATGACTTCGAAAAACAAAAATATTAATTTTTGTAACAAATTTCCGGACATGAAAAGTGATCAAGAAAATGAATTTTTCCTGGCGGATATCGAAGAATATAGCTACTTTCGAGATAAACACAGTCAAAATTATAAAAAAACTTTTTTGAGAATGTAAAATAATGTTTATGGTAATAATGAAATAAATATACAAAATAATTAATTTATGAAAATTAGATAAATGGACATTTTAGATTGATAAAGTTTTTACTTTTCAATTTTATTATTGATATTATAAAATATTTTAACAGTTAAATTAACTGAGTTAATTGAGAAATAGTATGGTAATTTGTAGTCAAAAGCCAAATTTTGAGGTTATTAAGGTCCAAAAAACGGATGCACAAACCAGTTTTTAGAATGTTTATTTTGTCAGAACACACCTTAAAATGTCAAGTGTTATTTAAAGTTAAATAAAATTTTAGAATGTTAAAACACACTGTAGAAACTAAAGAATGTTAACATTTTTAAAATACGCAATTTAGAATGTTAAAAACATATTTGAGAATGTCACATTTTTGTCAAAAAAAATTGAGACTGCCAAAACATTATATGTTAAAAAATTACTATAACTTGTTGATTTTTGTAGAAAAATATATTAAATGATGACAAAAAATAGTTGAAAAGGTGAAATTTTAACTTTAATCTGTCAGAACTAAATTTTAGAATGCACAAACCAGTTTATAGAAATTTAATTTTGTCAGAATACACCTCAGAATTATTTAAAGTCAAATTATATTTTAGAATGTTAAAAACAAACTGTAGAATAAATAGACCAAAGAGTGTTAAGAATCACATTATTAAAGAAAAAAAGTTTAATTTCATGAAAACTTTTTTTAAATACATATTTTAGAATGTTAAAAATATATTTGAGAATGTCACATTTTAAAATGTCAAAAACAAATTCTAGACTGCCAAAACACTGTGGAATGTTAACCCTGTTAAAAAACATATTTAACAAAAATTATCTGAGAAGGTAAAATTTAAACTTTAATATGTCAGAACCACATTTTAGAATGCCCAAATAAGTTTTTAGAATTTTAATTTAGTCAGAAGAAACTAAAGAATGTTGGAAATCACATTTTTTTAGAATGTCAAAAACAAATTGTAGACTGCCAAAACAATATAGAATGTTAAGAATGTTAAAAAAATTACTTTAATTTGTTGACGTTTGTGGAAAACATATTTAATGATGACAAAAATTATTTGAGAAGGTCAAATCTGAACTGTCAGAACTACATTTTAGAATGCACAAACAATTTTTTAGAATTGTAATTTTGTCAGCACAGTCAAAATTATAAAAAACACCTTTGAGAATGTTAAATAATATTTTAAACTATGTAACTATAAAAAAACAATTTAGTATTTTGAAAATAATATTTATGGTAATAATAAAATAAAGTACAAAATAATTAAAATGTGAAAATTAGTTAAATGGGCATTTTAGATTGATAAAGTTTATTTTTTATTTTTAATATCTATTGGTTTTATATAAAATTTTGACAGCTCATTGAGAAATAGTATGGTGGTTTGTAGTCAAAAGCCAAATTTTGAGGTTATTAAAGTCCAAAAAAACAAACGCTGTGACTAGAGGCACGCTAACGTGCCGCGATTCGAAATGTTAAAGGCACGTTAGTTACGTCATAAACCCAAACTTAACAACACAACCCAACCGACCCCGCCCTACCATATGAGCTATCTAGCTTGACGTCAAATATTAAACGTTCGGGGAACAAAAACGGATTATAATTATGACGTAACTAACGTGCCTTTAACATTTTCAATCGCGGCACGTTAGCGTGCCTCTAGTCACTGTGAAAACAAAACATAACTGCCGAGTAAAATAAATAACTTAAGTAGGGTTATGTGTACTTACCGGTTCCGGTGGACACCGGCACGGAGGTGGGGGGGCCGGCCGCGCCGTACGAGGGATGCGTGGAAGGCTGCGAATGCGCGGCCGCAGGATTGCACGCCGCCGCGGCGGCACGCGAGTTGTACGACGAACTTAGCGTGTGCAGAGGGTCGTGGAACATGTAAGGGTACGCAGCTTCGCGCTGCTGCAAGCAGCTGCTGCTCAAACCGCTCTGCATCGAACTGAAACAAAAAGATAAGAGATAAGTCAAGTTAGCAACGCCATCTGTCTTCAACCGTCGTATTCTACAGCCGACGGCACGTATCAGGCACTTTAAAGCTCATTCACATCCACTTAATACGCGTAACTTAACTTAACGTACGTGAGAGACGTAAGTTGAAATACATTGAAACCAATGCAGCTGTTTACATTCGTAGAAAACTTATCACACGTAACTTAACGTATCCAAAAGTTGGGTCCGGCTCAACTTAAGGAAATACGTTTCTTACGTGAGCCAATCACATGCCCAGTAAAACGATATAGCGCTATCTTGTTGTTTCACTTTTATAGATAGATAGGCAACCCAGTCTACATCGATGTCTACATTGCGCGTGCTTGTATATTACGTTTCTTAAGTTAATTTAAGTTAAGTTACGCATATTAAGTGGATGTGAAAGAGCTTTTATCGCTGTTTTGTATTAGCGTTTACCGCGTTCACAATGTATTGACGATGTATTCTCCCTGATAGATGCACGACTGCATGAGAATTCCTCTCTGCAGCAAGCAGGTCGACATTGAACAAAGGTGTCCGACGGGCAGCTCGACGTGACGCGCCCCCAGCGGTCACGTCAGGCATCAGACGGATTACAGTCGGGGCCGGATTGCACCCGCGAATAGCGGGAGGCCGGGCCCTCGACGAGAGTTTGATTGACGAACGTACGGACGGGCTACCGGTCGAGATTTTCTCTCTCCGGCATTCCAGGCGAGCTTATTTTATTAGTTTGAAACGTCAAGCTGTCATTCAAGAGGAAACTTTGTAGTTGAAGATATTCTGTTTTTGGGCTGCAGAGATATCATAATCATGTGTGCGAGTTTAAAGACGGTTCAACTGTCGAGGTATTGTGTTCTTGTCAAGAAGGCTTTTTAGTGTACACGACACGACTTAAGAATTTGTTTGTCGTTGATAAAAATGTTGAATATTTAGCTAGTTGAAGCATCGTACAAATCTGGTTAAGTTATTGGCCAGATTGACGCATTGGTAATGAATGCCGATACTCTCCAATAATAATTAATTTAGTAGCTGTCAGGCGATTGATTTCCTTCCGCGCGAACATCACGGGCAACTGATCACCGGTTTTCATGATTTGCATTTGAATATGCTCACAATGTTAAGATAATTAATCGCGTTATACTGGCACATCAATGTCTAAATGGAAATTAGGGTTTATGTTTAACAAAAACAACCACGTTTGCCAACTCGACAATTTAAATATTCCTTCTTAACAAACCAATGACATTTTTTTCCTTTCTGGTACCGCGACCCTTTTATGCTATGTAAAGTGATCAAGAAAATGAATTTCTCTCGGCTAAAATCGAAGATTTAGAATGTTATCTTTGTCAGAATACACCTTAAAATGTCAAAAGTCAAATCATATTTTAGAATGTTAAAAACAAACTGTAGAATAACAAAGAGAATAAAAAATGTTAAGAATTACATTTTTAAAGGAAAAAACATATTTTGAAATTTCACTAAAACTTAAAATACGGATTTTAGAATGTTAAAAGCATATTTGAGAATGTCACATTTTAGAACGTCAAAAACAAATTCTATACTGCCAAAACACTATAGAATGTTAAGCCTGTTAAAAAATTACTTTTTTTTACTCCCAACTTTTAAAACGCCCTTTATCGTACATGTTTCCATGGCACTAAGTGACCTTTTAAATACACATTGACAAGTTGTGGCTTTATGGCGCTTTAGTCACGGGCTGAAGTAAGCAACAGGTTTTTAGTTACGGGCTGAAGTTAGTTTTAAGTGTCAAATGTCATACAATCGTTAAACTAATGTGCCTTTCTTTTAAAATAATAGTTAATGTGAAAATTATTTTATTATCTCAATACAAAATACAAAATTATTAAATAGTTTCTCAACGCCAATATTTTAAAAGTTTATATGAACATTGTACTGATCTTTTAATTTCGCCGGCAGTAAACTATAACTTAAATTCGGGCACGGACTTCAATGTAAAGTGCTCATAAAGCATTTTCTTTACTTTCACTGTGAAAAACTGTCAATTTTCAAGAAATACTTTTCGATTTATAACCTTTATAATCTGTGTTTATAAAATTTGACATTTGACGGTGACACACAGATTCCCCTATTGTTTCATAGATGGCGCTCTCTATACAAATTTTTGATTTAAATCAGTTTAAGATAATAATAAGTATTTGTCGTAGAAAAAGTATAGTATGCACCTCGTTTATAAACTTTTCTATACACTCATTAATTTAAGCACTCGCTCGCAAGCTCGCTCGTGCCTAAATTAAATTCGTGTATAAAATGGCGTTTATCAAACTTGATACATAATATACTATTACTTGATAAAGTTTGTAGAAAAACATATTTAATGATGACAAACATTATTTGAGATGGTCAAGTTTGACCTTTAATATGTCAGAACCACATTTTAGAATGCACAAACAGCTATTTAAAGTCAAATCATATTTTAGAATGTTTAAAACAAACTGTAGAATAACATAGAGACTAAAGAATGTTATAACATTCTTATAAGAATCACATTTTTAAATAAAGATATATTTTGAAATTTCATGAAAACCTTTTTTTAAATACGCATTTTAGAAGGTTAAAAACATATTTGAGAATGTCACATTTTAGAATGTCAAAAACAAATTCTAAACTGCCAAAACACTATAGAATGTTAAGAGTTTTAAAAAATTACTTATATTTAATATTATAATATAAAAATAATAATATTTAATGATGTCAAAAATTATTTGAGAAGGTAAAATTTGAAATTTTGAATGCGCAAACCAGTTTTTAGAATGTTAATTTTGTCAGAATACAACTTAAAATGTCAAGAGTTATTTTAAGTCAAATCATATTTTAGAATGTTAAATACAAACTGTAGAATAATAAAGAGACTAAAGAATGTTAAGAATCACATTTTTTTAAAAATATATATATTTCAAAATATATATTTTGAAATTTCATGAAATACGCATTTTAGAATGTTAAAAACATATTGGAAACATTTTAGAATGTCAAAAACAAATTCTCGTACGTGTCAAAACTACATTCTAGAATGCACAAACCAGTTTTTAGAATGTTAAGTTTGCCAAAATACACCTTAAAATGTCAAGACTAAAATTATTTAAATATGTTAAAAGCAAATTATAAAATCTTAAAAACGTATTTTAGAATCTCAGAACACATTTTAGAATGTAAAGAATTTTTAAAAAGGTTAAAACATGTTTTAAGAATGTTGTTTAAAAATCTAAAACACAAGTTAAAATGTTCAAACCAGTTAATTAATAACGAATCATATTTTAAAATGTTAAAAGCAATTGTATACAATCTATCTAAAGAATTTCAAAAATAACATAATCAAGAATGTTAAACTTACACAGTTAAGAAAATAAATTACATACCTGTAGGTGTCTGCCATGGTAGCAATAGGTTGTGGAATAGATGAATACATGGAATTAAAACCAGAATTGATAGGTAATCTTCCTGTGGGAGCAGGAGGACTAACTCCTCCTGTAACTTGGTCCACAACCCGTCTCTGATTTCTCAGTTTTTCTTCTCTACGCCATTTTGCTCTTCGGTTACTAAACCAAACCTGCAAAGAAAGAGGAATGTTAGATATAATTGAATTTTATATTTTTTTCTGTAGATTTCCTTAGGAATAGGAAGGTTTTGCAAATTAACTGTGACATTTAGTATCTTGTTGATATACACTGTCCAAGACAAATTGGTGAATAAAGAAAGTTTCATTAGAAAAATGCCCCTCATTACACACGGTCAAATACTTACCCCACTAGGGGCTTAGGAACGTAATATCTGCTAAAATACTGGGACATTTATTTGTCGTATACAAATGAAAAATGACAATTTCGCTTCCTTCCTTCACCATGGAGCTCGCATTTCTTTTATTTATGTTGCGGGGCGATGACACGGCCAATATTGCGTAGGAGGCCGTTTTTCACGCTCGAAAGCGCACGATGTTCCCTTGTTTTTCCACTGCCAATTGATATTTTTTCCGACGAGTTAGTTAATTACCTTTTTGTGAGTCAAACGGTTGGGTACATTCGAGGCAAACAAACAACAAACAAAAGTACGAACGTTATTTCCCGATAATCTATTTTTAAATCGTCATTTCAGTTCGCAAACTATGAAAGACACATTTTCCGAGTGCAGAGCTGGCTCACAAAAGGATTCAATTCACAGGACCAACAATTTGTTTGATGACGGTTTAACAACCAAAATGACGATTTTTAGTTTTAGTTTTTTTTAGAAGGTCAATTTAAACTTTAATTTAGTTTATAGAATGTTGACATAACACGCAAGTTATTTAAGATCAAATCATATTTTAGAATTTTAAAACTGTAGAATGTAAAGAATCGCAGTTTTAAATGAAAATACACTTTAAATGTTATTAAAACTACTTTTTATAATGTTTTAGAATTTAGAATGTTAAAAACATATTTTGGAATGTCACATTCTAAATTGCCAGAACACCATAGAATGTTAAGACTGTCAAAAACGAATGGCGAGAACAACAATAAAAAAACACATTTTAAAATTTTATGACAGCTACTTTTTAAAATACGGATTTTATAATGTTAAAAACATATTTGAGAATGTCACATTTTAAAATGTCAAAAACAAATTCTGGATTGCCAAAACATTATGGAATGTTAAGACTATTAAAAATTTATTTAAAAATGTTAATCAAATTATAGGATGTCAAAAACGAATGAAAATAAAAACAATTTTAAATAAACAATATTACAATTTGAAATTTGTAAAACACATATTTGAGAATGCTGAGCGCTTTTAGAATGTAAAGAATATTTAAAAAGGTTAAAACATGTTTTACAATTTCAAAAACAAATTGTAGAATGGCAAAAGAATGTTAAGAATGTTATTTAAAAATCTATGTGTCTATATTAGTTTTTAGAATTAGAACATATTTAAAATATTTAAATGGCACCTTATGGCAAAATGTCAAGAGTTATTTTAGGTCAAATCATATTTTAGAATGTTGAAACTGTAGAATGTCAAAGACACCAAAGAATGTTAAGAATCACATTTTTAAATAAAATAACATATTTTGAAATGTTATGACACTATAGATTGTTAATACTGAAATATTATTTAAAATTCAAATTATAGAATGTCAAAAACGAATGGTAAGAACAACAATTTAAAATAAAATAAATCACATTTTGGAATGTAATAAACATTTTCGAGAATGTTAAGCGCATTTTAGAATGTAAAGAATATTTAAAAAGCATGTTTTACAATTTTAAAAACAAATTGTAGAATGGCAAAAGAATGTTAAGAATGTTATTTAAAAATCTTAAATACATTTTAAATGTTACGAAAACTACTTTTTAGAATACGGATTTTAGAATGCTACAATCATATTTGAGAATGTCAAATTTTATAATGTCAAAAACAGATTCTAGACTTCCAAAACACTATAGAATGTTAAGACTTTTAAAAAATTATTTAAAAATGTTATAGAATGTCAAAAAACTAATGGTAAAACAACAATTTTTAATGAAACAAAATACATTTTGGAATGTTAAAAACATATTTGAGAATGTCGGAGCAGGATTTTACAATTTTAAAAACAAATTGTAGAATGGCAAAAGAATGTTAATGTTATACATTTTAAAATGTCCAAATCAGTTTTTAGAATGTTAACATATATCAAAGATTCAAATGACACCTTAAAATGTCAAGAGTTATTTAAGGTCAAATCATATTTTAGAATAAACTGCAGAATGTTGAAGATACCACAGAATGTTAAGAATCACATTTTTAAATAAAAAAATACATTTTGAAATGTTGTTAAAATTACTTTTTAAAATACGGATTTTAGAATGTTAAAAACATATTTGAGAATGTCAAAAACAAATTCTAGACTGCCAAAATACTATAGAATGTTAAGACTGTTAAAAAATTATTTAAAAATGTTAAATTAAATTATAGAATGTTACAAAACACATTTTGTAATGTTAAAAACGTATTTGAGAATGTCGGAGCACGATTTAGAATGGAAATGGAATTTAAAAAGGTTAAAGCATGTTACACAATTTTAAAAACAAAATGAAGAATGGCAAAAATCTAAAATAAATTTTAAAATGTACAAATCAGTTTTTAGATTTTTCACATATTTTCAAGCTGTAAACTGTGCTATGACAAAGACATTAAATAACGTTAAGAATCACATTTTTAAATAAAAAAACACTTAAAAATATTATGAAAACTACTCGGATGTTAGAATGTTAAAAACAAATTTTAGAATGTCACATTTTAAAATGACTGCCAAAACACTTTTATAATCTGTGATAGAATGTTAAGACTGTTCAAAAATTATTTAAAAATGTTAAAAGCAAATGTCAAAAACGAATTGTAAGAACAACAATTTTAAATAAAAGAAAACACATTTTGGAATGTTAAGAACATATTTGAGAATGTCGGAGAACATTTTAGAATGTTTAGAATATTTAAACAGTTTAAAGCATGTTTTATAAATAAAATAACATATTTTGAAATGTTATGACACTATAGATTGTTAATACTGAAATATTATTTAAAATTCAAATTATAGAATGTCAAAAACGAATGGTAAGAACAACAATTTAAAATAAAATAAATCACATTTTGGAATGTAATAAACATTTTCAAAAATGTTGAGCGCATTTTAGAATGTAAAGAATATTTAAAAAGCATGTTTTACAATTTTAAAAACAAATTGTAGAATGGCAAAAGAATGTTAAGAATGTTATTTAAAAATCTTAAATACATTTTAAATGTTATGAAAACTACTTTTTAGAATACGGATTTTAGAATGTTAAAAACATATATGAGAATGTCACATTTTAGAATGTCAAAAACAGATTCTAGACTGTCAAAACACTATAGAATGTTAAGACTGTTAAAAAATTATTTAAAAATGTTATAGAATGTCAAAAACTAATGGTAAAACAACAATTTTAAATGTTTAAAACATATTTGAGAATGTCGGAGCAGGTTTTACAATTTTAAAAACAAATTGTAGAATGGCAAAAGTATGTTAACGCTATCAAAAATACATTTTAAAATGTCCAAATTAGTTTTTAGAATGTTAACATATTTAAAAGATTCAAAAGACTCTTAAAATGTTTAGAGTTATTTAAGGTCAAATCATATTATAGAATTTCAAAGAATGTTAAGAATCACATATTAGAATGTTAAGGATATTTAAGGGTTAAAACATGTTTTACAATTCAAAAACAAATTGTAGACTGGCAAAAGAATGTTAAGAATGTTATTTCAAAATCGAAATTAAATTTTAGGATATCCAAATGAGTTTTTGAAATGTTAAAATATTTAAAAGATTCAAAAGACGCCTTAAAATGTCAAGAGTTATTTAAGTTGAAATCATATTTTAGAATGTTAAAACTGTAAAATATTATTTTTGAAAAGATTCAACAATGCAATGAAGAGGTTTTTTTAATAAGGGGAAAGTCGAGGACTTAATTCTTTATTTGCCCAATCTTTGGCGTGTTTTCTGGTCGAGTGCTTTTTATTTACATGTCCCGGATAATGATAAACATTATGACAGGAGTGAACGAGGGTCGTGGAGTGCATAAACGTCATATTGAAAGCAGAACAAATTAATAAATGCATGGTTATTGTTTACATTTGCGTTTGTGGGGCTGGAAGCGAAGCCAAATAAGGGTCGTTTTCATACGCTAATGACATTTTGTGCGGCGGAAATCAAAAGATACTTTACAAAAAGCGCATAATCGTTTAATGTATCTAAAACCGGTGGTGTTTATATACATATAAAAGCGCGTTTTACAGCTTTTCACTAAATGAAAACTCCGCTTGTAATTTAGATAAAGTGCTGTACATTTCCAGTCCCGCTTTCCATTCATTCCATGTTACTTATCCAAATTACAACATTTCTAAAGGACGGTTTCATATACAACTCGCTTACATCTCAACTAAAAGACTACGCGCTCCGTAATAAAAATATAGGTAAAAGGTTTAACTTCTTATGTTCTTATGAATTCGAGTTTCTACTGTAATTCTCAAACATAAAGCCCGCTTTTTCGCGCTAATGGTCTTTTTAATATCTGCCCCGACAAGTGCTGTTTTAATTAACACAAAATATACACAGGTATTCATTACAAATGCACCGCTATAGCGTATACGCGGCCTCATCATGATAAACTAAACTGTTTTTAATTTGTAGAACCACATCGGATTGTCCCAACATTTTATGAAATCCTTTTTTTCCACGATTTTAATGATCCCGGAACCTTTAGTGCTCTAAATGAGATACTTTTCACGAAAATTCTAAAACTTTACCCTTTTTTTTAATTAAATATAAAACCTTTTAAATTATTTTATGTTAAGTTAAGTTAAGACGAGATTCATTAAAAACTTCTAAAAATAAAAATATTAATGGCTTTAAAATATGTTTTCCTTTATAAGTTGTAAAGTCATAAACTATAGTTCAATTTTTTGACATGTTTTATGTGCTATTTTTAAATAAATAAGTAGTTCTATAAATTTCCCAATTTTTACTTTTTTTTCGAAAAAAAAACGTTTTTTTTTTTCAGAAATTTTAAAACCCTATTTGTAACATAAAGTTCATTTTGTTTTATCTGGACTGCGGCAACATTGCAAATTTAGGGTTCTGGTTGGTAAATACAGTTGTCAAGTTGGTCGCATTGATTAAAACAAACGGAGCTAGTTATAAATCTAATGTGTATAGATTATTGTAGGTTACATTGTGCAGTTGTCAGGTTGAGTTGTCGAAATTCGTAGTTAAAAATGCAATTAATTTGTCTTTGGTGGTGCTTGGATGAGTAAAATCATATAAAAAAGTAGTAATTTCATCAAAATGAAGTTTTGCCCTCAAAAGGGCTTTTTCATTCGAATTCGTTGCTATTATTTTTGGCATAATTATCTTTTTATTTATAATTGACAAGTAAATTATCAATAATAAATATTATTGTCAATTTGACAGTGTCATTAAATTCCCAACCAATTTTTAAATACTAAAAATAGTCAAACTGGCATAAGCCTAACAAACCTAACAAAAAAACACGAGTCTAGTTAAAAAAATGAACTGTACGCGTTTGACAGCTGATTATTAAATAAGCATTAATAATTTTAGAAACTTGCTAAATAACCAATTTAATTTTTGGATACATTTTTATATGAGTTTTAAAAAAAAATACAAAATTTAAAGCAAATGCAAAAAGAGCATTTGTCAATTTAATTTTAACTAAAAGCGCTTGGTTGTAATAATTTAAAAAAATAAATTAATTTTTATACGTCAATATTTAACACTGAATTTGTCAACAGAGTTGATTATTTATCAATTTTTATTTTATTCCTGTTATTAATCTATCTACAGTAGGTAGCAAAAATGACTTTTTTAAATTAATAAAAATGAAAAAAGCTTATGCATCAAGTTTAAAAAGAGATCGCATTATTGGGGTTTGTCCAAATAAACAAGAGAAATGGCTGAAGTCCTGAAATTGAACTCACACGGTGTTGACGCATGTTTTCAAGCTTCGTTGAACGTTCGTATTGATCACAAAGTGCTAAAACCTGAATTGGCTGTTTTACGATTCCATTTTTTCCATTCTATTTCAATTTCATTCGCCACTATTCCCATCTTCACTTTAATGTAAAAAATATAATCGAAATCTTTTTAATTTTTGCTTTTTCTCCTTTCGCTTGCTCTATTGGATCTCTACTGGCCTAAAGGTTTTCTTTCTTTATTTTTTCTTACTTACAAATGTTGACAAGCTAAAAAAAGTTTGTTCTAAGAAAAAGTCCGAATTTTTTATAAATACACCAAGTATTGTAAATACACACGTAAAACAATAATTTTAAATTAAAAAATTTTAGAATGTTAAAAATATATTTGAGAATTTCGGAGCACATTTTAGAAGGTAAAGAATATTTAAAAAGGTTTAAGCATGTTTTACAATTTCAAAAACAAATTATAGAAAGTCAAAAGAATGTTAAGAATGTTATTTAAAAATCTAATATAGATTTTAAAATGTCCCAATCAGTTTTTAGAATGTTAACATATTTAAAAGATTTAAAAGACACCTTAAAATGTCAAGATTTATTTAAGGCCAGTCAAATCATATTTTAAAATGTTAAACTGTAGAATGTCAAAGAATGTTAGGAATCACATTTTAAAATAAAAAACACATTTCGAAATTCTATGACAACTACTTTTTAAAATACAGATTATAGAATGTTAAAAATATATTATATATATAGAATGTTACATTTTAGAATGTCAAAAACTAATTCTATACTGCCAAAACACTATGGAATGTTAAGACTGTTAAAAAATTATTTAAAAATGTTAAAAGCAAATTATAGAATGTCAAAAACGAATGGTAAGAACAACAATTTTAAATAAAAGAAAACACATTTTGGAATGTTAAAAACATATTTGAGAATGTCGGAGCACATTTTAGAATGTAAAGAATATTTAAAACGGTTTACAATTTCAAAAACAAATTGTGGAATGGCATAACAATGTTATGAATGATATTTAAAAATCTAATATATAATATATATTATTTTAAAATGTCAAGAGTTATTTAAGGTCGAATCATATTTTAGAATGTTTAAACTGTAGAATGTCGAAGTCTAATAATGTTAAAAATCAAATTTTTAAATAAAAAAAACGTTTTGAAATTTTATAACTACTTTTTAAAATACGGATTTTAGAATGTTAAAAACATATTTGGGAATGTCACATTTTAGAATGTCAAAAACAAATTCTAGACTGCCAAAACACTATAGAATGTTAAAAAATTATTTAAAAAACAAAACAATTTTAAATAATAGACAACACATTTTGGAATGTTAAAAACATATTTGAGAATGTCGGAGCACATTTTTGAATGTTAAGAATATTTAAAAAGGTTAAAGCATGTTTTAGAATTTTAAAATATTCTAAAGACTTAAAATGTCAAATAATGTTTTAAAATGTTAAATGTTAAAACTGTTTTTTTCTTATTTCTCTTGGATCTCTACTGGGCTAAAGGTTTTCTTTCTTTATTTCTGTTTACTTACAAGGTATTAAAAAAAGTTCACCATAAAGAAAAAAATTCCCAATTTTTAAGTAAATCAAATTAGTTTTAAAAAACGCATTTTCTAAAACCCAAAATTACAACAGTACAGCAAAAACCTTGTTATTGTAATACACACGTAATAAATATTTTTTGATATATTTTTCTACAGATTCGTAAAAAAATTGTTACCTGGATACGTGCCTCAGGTAATCCAATTTTTTCTGCAAGCCTTTCCCTCGCGAACACGTCTGGATAGTGCGTCCTCTCAAATTCTGAAAAAAATGAAAAAAAAAAGCTATATTTTTATTGTTAAAGAACCACTAAAAACACTAAAGCATCACTTGGTTCCTTTTGACATAAACGCCGTCCATTGAAGCTTTCCTCGCAGAGATTTAACTTGTCGCTTTTCGACAAAGCACTTAGTTCCGTTATAAATGGGAGTCGATTTTTAATTGAGAACGAGAACTTTTCAATGGACGCTTTTTGTGTCGTCTACTCGACTTACCTTTCTCCAAACTATCGATTTGCTCGTTCGTGAAAGAGGTCCTGTTCCTTTGCAACTTCCTTTTCAGTCTCAATCTCAGTTGCGAGTCCTCGTCTCCCGACGAGTTGTGCTCCGAATTGCCGTCGGATGTATTCTCGTGCATCACGTCTGAAACAATGAAAAAGATGTTGAGAATATTTCGGATTACTGTTATTTTTTATATCAGTGATTTTAAAACGTGACCCAATCATAATTTCCTTTAAAAGTTCTGGAGATCTAGCTGGCCACTCTATCTGTCCTCCTCTGAAGTGAATATTTGTTTTAAATTATATGCTAAGATTCTACAAAAATGGCAGAAAATATGAAATACTACACTTTGCCAGTCACTGAACATAAATCATTTCTAAGAATTCATATCTCATCATAATTTTACCATTTACCTTCTTCAACGATTTTACAGTAAAAAACGACAACGAAAAGAGCATACTAAAGTAATAAAAATTCGAGCTATAAAATGTAAATTGTCGTTTAACTGAAGACGCAGAGAAAATGAGAGAAAACAGATCCAAAGGGTGTTGGAAAAGCGGATGATTTTAAATGATTTTTCACAATACCATCTCTCTAAAAATGAATTAGTCAAAAATGATTAATTTAATAGATATTAGTGGCTCCTTTTTCACTTGTACCATGGTTAACCATGGACCACCATGGTATCCCAAAATTTAACAGCCAATTCTTATGTAAAATTGTCCCCTGAATCCGAAAATATTGTCAAGCGGATGCCAAACCGGTGTTCTAATGTCACTTTAATAAAAATTAGTTTTATTTCTCTATAACTATTGTTAATAATATTTTAAAGCTAAATTTTTACTACTTATGTAAGTAGTAAAAAAGTAACTATTCAAAAGTGAAAAGGTCACATAAAAATGACGCCAAAAACTGAATGCGCTATCGGAAGGACCCTCTCTAGAGTTTAAATAAATGTTTTTCAAAATTTTAGATTTTTAAATTTTGATAGTTATTCAAATACCAACCGTAATTTAGTGACTTATTTAAGATTTTTTGCGAATTTCTTTAAAACTGAGCCCTTTAGGAAAAAAATTTAAAATAGAGAATTAAAGACGACAAAATTTTCTATTAAATGATGCTTCAACAACCGCAACCATTGGCGTAGATATATTTTTTTTATACACAAAATGTTTAGGAACTTGATGTTTTTGCACATTAATCGCCGAAACCATATTTCACAAAAAAAGGAAAGGACAACAGTAAATGATTTATCTATTAAAAAAAACTATGTATTTAAGAAAAGCAGGACCCTTAAATAAATTGAGTACCTAAGTGATGTATGTTTAGTAGTTGAGGTATACCTACTATTGCTTACATTAAATTGCCAACAAGGAGTAAATAAAAAAAATCTAGTTAGCCATCACCTTTGCCAAGCAACACTTTTGCCTATGTATTTTGGAACGGACTAGTGAAACTTCTGGGAAAAGAACAAGCGTTGAGATGGCCTTAAACTCTGAATTTGGTCTCTAAGAACTACCATACATCCTGACACTCTTCTTACAAAAGATTTTTTGAAAACTGTTAGTACTTTGGTCATTTTACCATACTTGTCCCAATTTAAGACTATGGATAAATTAGTTGAGAATTATTTTTCCACGAAAACGCCAAATTTGGACTAAATAAAAATGCATATACAAACATTAGTAGTTATGTTTAAAGCTGCTGACATATCTCAAACTTCAAAATTAATAATAATAATAATAATAATAATAATAATAATGTTTATTAACAGCAAATTGCCACAATAAATAAATGTACCTACTAATTAATCACTTGGAAGAATGTCCACCGCGATTTTATAAAATTTTGGAAAGAGCAATTGTAGAGTTTCCATCAAGTACTTCAATTATTAAGTAGGTACTTACTTGTCTTTTTTGTGTTATATAGGTTATATTTCTTTAAAGAAAAATGATGCTGCAATGTTGAAAGTAACCTATGGCAGGTTATTTACAAACAAATGAAACATACCCAGTTAAACATAAAAAATTCACGACTACGTCCATCGATTTCGTATGCCAATAGTTTAGGCATAGCAAAACCGACAATCTCCACTTTTGGTCAAAAATTAGATTTTTGGCGGAGACTGTACTTCAACTAATTATCTATAAGATAATAAAGTTTATGTGCTGCAAAAGGAGCTAAATCCTGCCTAAAATCCTATTTTAAAAATGAAATTTAGTGCAAAGTCGACAATCTCCACTGATAGATTTGCAGCAAAGTATACAATCTCCAATTCCACCATTAGAAATTAGTAATTTGTGTCAATTTTTGATGTTATAACGTATTTTAGAGATTTAATTTTGTGTTTTTTTACTGGTACATTGTGTTAAGTTCTATTGCAGTAAATTGCACTTAAAAATATATTTAAAATAGGTATATATACGTTTTATTGTTTTAAGAATTATAAAAAAAGTTATCTTGTTTATTTTGTGCTATTATACCATAATAAGACGTAAAGGTAAAGGAAGAAAAGGCTGATAATGTCAAAACATTGTAAGTAAAACATTACGGAGAAAAGTGGAAAGAAGATGATGAGTTGTACTATAAATAACTTTTTTGCACGAGGCAACCTGGTCCCAGATTTAGAAGAAACTCCAGATTTATGTGGTCCAGTTCAGAATTTTCCCTCATTGATTGTATAGTTAAATTTTATACCCATTAAGGAATAAAAAACAATTATTTTTTTGTTTATTTTTCTAAATCTCCTTAAACGTTTACAACAAAATGAGCAATCTCCAGCAATTCATATCAAAGTCAGCAATCTCCAATTTATAATTATAGATTTCACCTATACTATGCATCCTGGAGACCTTGTAGTTGGCTACTAGACTAACAACAACAATATTTCAATATAATATATAAAAAAATTACAAATCTAGAATTTAAAATACCAAAATCAATTATCTCAATTTACTCAGTTTTAGTCTGATGGGAGATTGTTGACTTTGCTCTGACAGGCCTCAATTATGGAGGCATGATTTAATAGATATATATTTCCTTATTCAAACATTTTTTCCAAAGGTAAAGATAAAATAAAAACCTAAAATGAATCACCAAATGACATTTGATATTTGGATTATTAAGCATAACTTCATATTTTTAAACTTTAGAGGACATCCATATTCCAATACTGCAGTCAGTTTTGGCTCTATTTTTTTGTGATCTATGACTCGTTCAGGACCACTGTGTTTATTAGTAAACAATGGTGGTACTAATTCAAATGGTAAAATTTTGACTATTCCATTTTAAGAGAGAAGAAGCATGTGGAAAAAAACGTTTTCTGCGAATGTAGCTATAACATGTAACGTGTAGGAGTGTTGCGGATGTGGGGAACCACTGTCATAAGTGAGCGTCTACGAAGACTGGCGTAGCAGCAGTGGCACCAGTCCCTGCTCGCACAGTTTCTGTAGTATATTCCCACCCTATCCGCGTCCCAATTTACTTCCGCTTCTCTAAACTCCACCCCATTTCATATCCACCCTCGCCATTTCATTCTCCTTGTTTTATTTCATCTTCTGATCCTATTCCCTGCCCCCCTTGCCGCCCCTCCACCGGCCGCCGCCGCTCTCAGCGCTCTGCTGTTTATGTTTTCTGCCGACAAATCTCGATTCGGGAATTTACATAATTTTAGATTTTAGCGATTTTTCCCGCAACGATCGTCATATAAACGAATTATTTTCCCTCCAACCGCGGGTTATTGAAATTAAATCTCTATTGATCCCCCCTCGGCCAGGGGGGGCGCGAACGCGCCCGCACCATCCAGACTTTCAGCTTTTAAATCACATTAACAATGAAATCATATTTTCATCAGGCCCCACCTCACAGATAATAGTATATTATGTATCAAGTTTTATAAACGCCATTTTAGTTTTATTAGGCACGAGCGAAGCTTGCGAGCGAGTGTTCAATAAAAACGAGTGCCTATAAAACGAGTTGTATACTATACTTTATCTATTTTGCTTTCATAATGACTTCATTATAACACCGCTCTCAGTGCTGTAATGAGATACTTGATCCCACCCAAAATTTTGATTTTATAGGTTGGCTTTACTCTAAACAGCATAATATTTCGCATATTGGTTATATTTTTATGATTTTTCTAGTACTTACGAGACTTTTCTGGCAATCAATTTTGTTTAACACCAAAGAAAATACTTTTTTTCTTCTTTAACATTAACAGCCGCTTATTGTCAATAAGTAAATTAAGGACGGCATGGCGAATCGATTTTGACATTAACTGTCAAACCAATAACTGTGATACCAACTTTCTAAAGTAAAATTCGACCAAATTAAATTTAAGGTATATAATTAATTTTTTTAATAGATAGTTCTTTAGTATACTATTATTAATATACTATTTACGACGAACACAAAGAAGAATTTAAAGCCCATTGTATTTGTTAAACATTTATGACTTTTAACGGGTTTAACCTCACTTTTCCCTAAATTATAATAAAGCTAACTTCAGCTCGTGACTAAACCCCATACAGCTTGTAAGATGTAGATAAAAAAACTTAATATTGATATTTTTATTTTAGTATGGCAACTTAAAGAAGTATTAAAAATATTAAAGGATCATAAAATCCACAACATTTTTTCTGTGGTTCTGTTGAAGAACAGTAAAAACATGGTTATAAAAACAAAGGAACGTTTATAAAAATGGGATTTTTTGGCATTCGCAAATTAAATTGGTAATTACGCGCGATTGGGGCTCGGCTGGGTGGTACGCGTTGCCCAAAACAGAATATATTTTCGATATTTTTTCGACCGCGTAAACGGGCAACATGTAAATTACATTAACGTTTATAATTGGGACACATAAAAAGCTGCACTAATTATAGTTGCAAACTGTTTTAATTCGCATTCGAAATTTTGCAAAACGAAATGCCGTAAATTTGAAAATTATTTTATAAATTTGCGCTCCCAAAAATCACCTGTTTACAAAGAACCCAGATTCCCCATTTTGATCCAAAACGAATTGAATTGCTTTTGCATAATTAAAACTAATTTATTTTTGTTTAAGCAAAATATTTGCTCGATTTTAATATATCGAAGTTTACACAAAGCAATTTTAACACGAAAAACTTTTACTGTTTATTTGGTTTTAACTAATTTTGTAATTAATTTATATAATCACAAACTATTAATTAACTAACATATCTATTTTTCCCATTCATCAACATTTCCTCTATTTAGTTTGCTAAATAAATAATAAATAAATCTTGTTAAATTAACATTTTAATGAAGTTACTTTAAAATTCATTACGAACGTGTTTACACCGACAGATAGACTGTTTCGCTCGTCTGGGCCGCATCAGTGTCGGGTAGCACATTTGTACAAACTGCCGACAGCCGCTTTATAGTCTCTAAAAATGAATTAGTCCAAAATGACTAATTGCCATAGCGATAAAGCAGCCACTAATAATTTGTATTCCGAACATTTAGGTCAATTTCCATGTAAAATTGTCCCCTGAATCCGAAAATGTCGAGAAAAGTAGAACAGTTCCATAGAATTGACTATATATCAATAACTGCTCTATAGAAAGTATACTTTCATCATTTTTGACGGTATTGTCGGATTTTAGGGACAATTTTACATAAGAATTGGCTGAGGATACCATGGTGTATCATGGTTAACCATGGTATAAGTAAAAAAGCAGCCACTTATAACTAGTTAGTCATTTTTGACTAATACCTTTTTAGAGAGCACTGACTTACCTCTTTTTTGTATTTCATCCCTCGTGATCTGGGTGGTAAGTGCGGTGGGTGCGGGGGGCAGACCTAAATGGGGGGCGGTAGGTGTACCGGGGTACCATGCCCATCCAGGTGCTTGACCATTGAACATTCTCAACTTGTCGTAGACAGACTCATTCTGCGCTGATGCTTGCTGTTCCTTCTGAGACGCCAGGTTCCTGAGCACTCTGTTGATTGAGGAAACCTACAACAAGAAGAGAACAGTTTTAAAAAAAGAATGTACAAGATAATGTGTTATTAGCTGAAAGAAACATATCGATATATTATGCAATAAACAGTTTTGTGGGAAAGTTGAGTGAGCAAACAATAAGGCTGCCAGATGCAATCGTGTGCAACTCCGGGCCGGGGTAAATGGCTTATCCCTATCCCTGAATGTTATTACGCTGTATTCTTTGCGACTAACCAAGTGGAAGTACAACACCTCTTGCCTGAACGTCACTAACACGCGTGCATAACAGGGAAACCCCTGTTCGCAACAACTTTTTGCATAATTATTACAATCAATATTAGCAACGACTTTATTTGTACAACGGACGAACACCATTGTTTAGTTTTTTTTATTGTGATTAAGCCCAGCTTTCATTAATATCATTGGTTTTAGGGGAAATAACACTTGTTTCAAAATCATTTTTGAGATGGAATTTCTTGAAAACATGATGTCTTGTGTATTCGGATTCAGCAATGCCATTGTAGTTGTAGTTCAGTTTAGAATAGGCTAGAACCCTCCGCAAATTAAATTAGAAACTAATTATTATAAAATAATTTAATCCCGACGTAATCCCTTAAACCTTACGAATGGTGAACGTTTTGCGCCCCCCAAAACGTTAGAAGAGAAACATTAGAAACGCACACAGAAGTTGTGTTACGGTGTTTGGGGGTTTAGTGTTACCTAATTCGGAATTAGCTACTGTGCGGGTGCGGGCATTTGAAGGACTTCACTGAACGCGTATCGTTGATTTTGTAAAAATGTCTAAATCCGTCTCTGAACCGGAAGAAGCGATATAGAGAAGAGGTATAGGTCAAACAATTCGGGCCGAGTAGAATGTGAACGGAAATTGCCACCGTAAGGAGGAAAATGTCTGTAAATAGGATCGTTGCGACGCTACAACATTCTTCGAAAAGACATTTCGAAAAACGTGCAAGTTATTTTATCGCCCCCGTTCTCTGTTTCCTTATGCTCATTATTTCAATGCTTACATTAAATTGTTCTTCCAACAATTCGAAAAAATGTATTGAAGTGGTGAAACTGATTTTAAAACGAATGGTGGAAATGATGATATGCATGCGTGCGGTCTATTATGGCCGCAACAATGGTGGCAATATTTCGCGGAAAATTATCAATTAAATCGAATATGAATAGACACAAAGAGTAAATGATGCAGCAGTTGATTTTAGTTTAAAATCGGCGGTGGGCAATTAGGGTGACGAAATTAATGTTAATGTATGTCGAGCATGTGGTATTGTTAAAGCCACATGTCATCGGGCATCGGGCCCTGTTCCTGACAGATAGAGCAGATCCGCGCAATGATATCTACCCGAAAAACCTTCGATGATGTTTCCAACATCACGTCATCTGCGGAGATAAGCCTCGGCTGGTAAAAGAAGAGGACAGAGTCGGGCGGTGTGTGGTGAAATCATAACAATACGAGCGGCTGGTAATGGGGGGGCAAATTTTTTCAATGGGATCACCAAAGCGTGTTCTACAATTCGTGTTCGGTCATATGTGAAATAGCGCGAAGGGGGCAATGCCGCTTCCGTAACAATGCGAATTTCAAAAACGAACTCGAAAGAAATTTATCGTAAAATGTAATTGGATTTCTCTATATTAAATTGTTCAATTTCTGAAACCACAGTGATTTCCCTTTCGACTTTTCTCGTCCGCTGTACTCTCTGCCTTGCTCGCCAAACCCCAGGGACAATGCTCTTTAATGATAATCATACGCTGCGCACCAATGCGACCGTTTTTTAATTTAATTCACCTTACTCTAATTTCATCAACCACCATATCCAAATTACCATCTCAGTCAAATACAATTTAATTAACCTAGCTAGGCGATTGGCTGTCGCTTTCGATTTCACTATTAATTTTTTATTTTTAAATTTGGCATCTCCATTGATATCATTCAATTTTTTTCACAAATTCAAGAATCAAATGGACGGATGTTTCCATATTTTGATACGAAATGAGGACTATCATTTTTGCATTTCACCGAATCAAAAACCTGACAACATCGCCAAAACACAGCAATTGCTTTCGTCTTTCGACGAATGACCAAAATATTTATATAAAATAAACTCAAAGTGAACAAGGAAAGTTAAATTGGTGTGTAGGCATTTGGGGGACTCTCCACTCAGCGGGGTAACCAAGGCAACGCGTTCCAGCAGAAAGGGAGAGTGGCGAAATGCTGGAGGATTATAAAAATAGGTAGAGATTAGATAAAATGGAGGATTTGGGCTGATGGAGGTATCGCCGGGAAAACGCGGCAACTTCATAGCCAAAAACGTTTTTGCTCAAATAATTACAAGACACGTAAGCATTGTTTCATCAATGGTGGTTACAACGTCCAGCAAATAGGATTTAGAAGACTGTCAACTCATATCGTTAATTAGAATGAAGTTGTCGTATTTTTGAACACATTAGAGTTAAACTAATTACAAAACTTTCTTAACGAAATTACTGAGCAATTTTCTCGAATCCATCAGAAAGCGAATGGACGGAACTTGATTATACTTGTAAATTACGTTAATTAATTTATTTCTGAGGATTGTAAGTAAATAAAACGCCCGTCCTCACCAAGAGACAAATTATTAATTTTAGTCTTGTTTTGGAGGTGTTTTGTCCTTTTGATGTTGAGCCTTATTTCGGATTTGAACAATCGAATAAGTGATGAAGGTTGGAGAGAAAAAATAGTGCGAACAATTGTAACTTTGTTTCCTCGTAAGATTTGTTGCTGGGCAGAAATGCTGTGTGCGCTTGCGTGCGTAGCTCATCGATACGCATTGCGTGAGACAGAAGCAAGCGAAAAGCGGCTTGTTGTCATCGCCTTATAACAGATTAAAACGAGGGATCCACCGTTCGCGGATGACGGCACAAAAAGAAAATGGCCGTGCTTCCGGTTCCACCATTGGACAGATGCGTGCTGGTTGTTCCGATGATGATTACGGCAGATAGAAGGGCGGGTGTTTTGTGTAACAATCGACTGCCAGGTGTTGTTGATGGGCGAGGATGGGTCTATTTAAAAAACCGCAAACATTGCGTTGTTGCTTTATTAATTTTTATGAGGGGTCGTTCAAGGGGAAATACCGGATTGGTCGGTACACAAAATTAATTCGTTCGGTCTACCCCAAGTCGCATCCCATTGTTGCTGGTAAATATTTATCTACATGGGAATGGTTAACGTTTATAATGGGAAATATGTTATCAGGGTTTATCTAATCAACCGCAATTTGGATTTACTGGTAGAACTTAATCGTATCCTTTGGAAAATCTTAGTCTTACACTGTTACAAAAACATGTTAATGTTTGTTAATTTTATTTTGTAAAATTATCTAAAAAAAAAATCTTGGTATTATTCTTGATAAGGATTTGCGTTTTAAGAGCTATATAAACAATATTATAGGAAAAGCCTATTATAGTCTCAAATTACTTTATAATAATAGGCAGGTATTATCTAAACATCTTAAAATTTTGTTATGTAAAAGCTTAGTGCTTTCCAAATTTAATTATTGTTATAACTTGTATCATTTTTGCATAGACGCTGCTGATGCAAAAAGAATTCAAAAAATCCAAAATGCATGCGTTAGGTTTATCTTCGGAATACGCAAATATGAACATATTTCTCGAAAATACTCGGAACTAGGTTGTTTAAAAATGGCAGATAGAAGGATTTACCACTCTATGAATTTTTTTTATAAAATAATTTGTTTAAAATCACCAGAATATCTTTATAATAAAATACGATATCGTACAGACATACAAAATATTAACATTAGGCACAGAAAAATCCTAACTGTACCACAGCACAAAACAGCTCTCTTCGAGAGAGGATTTTCCTATAATGTAGCGGCTTCATATAACAAACTACCTGATGAGTTTAAATCATTGTCTCTAAGTAAATTTTCAATAAAATTTAAGCGTTTTCTTCAGAATGGCAAGCTTTAATGTATTTTTATATATCTTTTTTTTCTATTTTCTCTCATATTGTGTGTTTTTATTTTATTTTATTTTTCTTTATACCTATTTATGTCTCATATCAATGAGTTCATCACGTGGAGTTCATGTATATCTATATAATCATGTATGATAGTAGTAAAGTGAATTTAATTTAATTTATTTTGGTTTATGCGGAAGACCAGGAGTTGCTTTTATTAAACGTGATTAAACAAAAGTACTTAAATAAATAAAACCAACAACTGAGCATGGCCATTTTACCTAATTAGATACAAATTCTTGTAAATTATATGTATTTTCTTTTTATGGGTAAATAAATGTATTTATTATTATTATTATTATTATCTACTTTTGTTAAGAATGATGAAGGTACATGATAATAAAATATCTTTAACATTCCATCTACTGATTTTTTATTGCATTACCCATTAAATCAGAATTAATTCACGGTTGGCCCATTAAACGGTATTAAAGAGTAACACAATTGAAAATTAGACGTAAGCTCCTATTTACTTTTATAATAATAGTTCATTAGAAAGCGATATAAAAAATGCATAATGATAAATTATTTCTTTACGCTCATCTACCTAATCTATCTGTGAGTACTACTTGCCGAAAAAGGTCTATTTGTATGGCTAATAAAATAACAGTTATTGATCTAATAAATTTTGACACAGTTAATAAATTACATAAAAGTGTCTATTTCGTTGATCCCATTAAGCCATTTGTAGGCTGTCGTGAATAGTCGAAAAATTTGACAGAGCATCAGGTAGCTGGTTCACAATACGGATAACAGTTTAGCATTTTCATTGAAACCTACTTGAATTCATCAAAACGATACTCGAGAGGCATAATAGATGCGTACAATGCCTACGGAAAGCAACAGCATGTCGACACTTTTGCTAGATTTATGTGCTTAAATGGCAAAATTGCCGCTTTCATTCACTTTTCACGAAAAAGGAATTTTCGACAACTGTTTGTTTTGTTAGTGTTTAAAATTGATGTCATCATTC